AGACCTTCGCTTTTTGACATCAAATGAAGCGGCCCACCAAGTTGAATATTTTTGGTAAAACAGGTATATCGATCTCTTCTAATAGTTTGGTTGAGCTCTTGTGTTTTCTAATCAGGGTCACCAGGTACTCCAGATCTTCGATTATCCTACTTTTTATAGTTTTCCCTTTATGTGGCCATTAAACCCTAACTATGTACCAAATTTCAGCTCTCTGAGTCTATGGAAAGTACTAGTTCTATTCTGATGATCATGAGTGAGTGAGTGTATTAAATGAGAAACTTTGCTTTCGCTTAACTTCGGAACTACATGATCTACAGACTTGAAATTTTGGATTTTAAGTATGTTATTATAGCTTACTAGATGACGAAAATTTCAGCGTTCTGGTCTTATCAAGAGGTTCTCAAATAGGGGCCTGAAAATGCGGCGAAATGGTTCCAGTAAAGGATGGTACGGCAGTGTTTGCTTCGCGCTCGACTTGGTGGCGACCCCAGATATACAGAACTTTTAGTTGTATATTCAGGCCTTTGACTCGATTGAAATCTGGTCTGTCCTGGAGTCCCTGCAGTGTTGCCAAGTCGACTGGCGATACATTCAAGTGATAAGATGTCTCTACGAAGCCACCACCATGTCTCTCCAAGTACAGAATCAGCAAACAAGTCCCATACCGTTGCATCGTGGAGTGAGACAAGGGGACGTTATTTCCCCGAAATTGTTCACTAATGCAATGGAGGATATGTTCAAGACGCTGAACTGGAAAGGACATGGCATCAACATAAATGGCGAACGCATCTCTCACTTGCGATTTGTAGACGACATCGTCATCATGGCAGAAACCCTGCAGGACCTACAACAGATGCTGAATGACCTGGCTGACTCTTCTATACGCATCGGCCTACTGACTTCGTCGATCCCACAGTGCCTAAAGACGAAAGTCTTCAATAAGTGCGTCCTACCTGTGATGACATACGGAGCCGAGACGTGGACACTGACGGCACGGCTGGTCCACAGGTTCAAAGTCGCTCAGCGCGCTATGGAAAGGGCTATGCTCGATGTTTCTCTGAAAGATCGCATCAGAAATGAGGTAATCCGACAGAGAACCAGAGTTATCGACATAGCCCACCGGATTAGCAAGTTGAAGTGGCAGTGGGCTGGCCATATTTGCCGAAGAACCGATAACCGTTGGGGTAGACGAGTTCTGGAGTGGAGACCGCGTCTAGGCAAACGTAGTGTAGGACGTCCTCAGGCACGATGGAGTGACGATTTGCGCAAGGTGGCTGGCAGGAGCTGGATGCGAGTAGCCCAAGATCGATCTGAGTGGCGTGCATTTGGAGAGGCCTATGCCCAGCAGTGGACTATGATAGGCTGTTGATGATTGATGATGATGAAAGGATTAATTATCATACCGCCTTGTCTCAAGCCTGATCAGAAAAATAAAATCTATTATTTTAGGTTTTCTGTGATATAATATAATCAAAATTAGGGCCAAATATATCATAGTCTGAAGGAGAGGATTAAAGAGGATTGGTGGATGTTAACGAACCCAGTGCGGATTGGTGGGTGATAACGGACCCAGCGCTGATTGGTGGGTGATAATAGACGCAGTGCAGATTGGAGGGTGATAACGGACCCAGCGCGGATTGGTGGGTGATAATGGACCCAGTGCAGATTGGAGGATGATAACGGACCCAGCGCGGATTGGTGTTTTTTTTTCTATTAACAAACAGTTCAAGATTTTCAGATCATTGGGACTAAAGAAATTTGACTTCAATCGGGTGGTCATAAGCACACTCGCTTTTTTTTATAACCACCAAAAGTGTCCCAATGTTGAGCAAGTTTTGAAATGCTTAATGGGAAGGGAAACCTGTTTAGTACAAACAATCTGTCGAAAAAAATATCGTTTCAGTGAAAAAAAAAACCTAAAGGTAAGTCTTGTTTTTTCTGTTGCCAAATGACGTCAGTAAGCCAACTTGGCGATGGGCATGTTCAACTCGTAGGCGTTTTTTGAAAAACTCAAAAAACCCTCAAAAATTTTTTGAAACGCATTTTTCTTGTTTTGTATGCATTTTAGAAACTTTTTTTTCGACCATAATTGTAGAGGGCGTTGAGTACTACAATTTATGTCATTGTTGCAATCTCGTACAACTCGTTTAGGTAGCGCTAGTCTCAAAAAAGTGTTTTTTCACTTTTTCATCCTGAAAATATCATTTTAATGGAAAACTTTAAATGAAAAACTTGTTCCGTACATAATTACCAACAACTTTTGTATAAACAATTTTTTGTATTACTTACCGTTTTCAAGTTATAAATTATGCAGGTGTGAAAAATCCAATAGAGCGGTTTTTGGGCAGTTCAAGTACACATTTCAATGTACGTTTATACTATTTTATTTTTATTTTATATTTTTTTCATGATTGATGATTTCATGATGAATGTGCACTGCAAATGTGTACTTGAACTGCCCAAAACCGCTCTATTGGATTTTTCATACCTGCGCAATTTATAATTTGAAAACGGTAAGTAATACAAAAAAAATGTTCATACAAAAGTTGTTGGTAATTATGTACGGAACAACTTTTCGATTTAAAGTTTTCCATTAAAATGATATTTTCAGGGTGTAAAAGTGAAAAAACTCTTTTTTTGAGACTTTAGCGCGACCTACAAAGCGCATTTTTGTTGTACGAGATTGCAACAATGACATAAATTTTAGTACTCAACGCCCTCTACAATTATGGTCGAAAAAAAAGTTTCTAAAATGCATATAAAATAAGAAAAATGCATTTCAAAATTTTTTTGAGGGTTTTTTGAGTTTTTCAAAAAACGCCTACAACTCGTAGGCGTTTTTTGGCGTAATCGAACAAGCCCATCGCCAAGGTGGCTTACTGACGTCATTTGGCAACAGAAAAAACAAGACTTACCATTTAGGTTTTTTTTTCGGCACTCAACCTATAGATTGACTGTACTAGTTGCAAAAATAGTTGTTTTGTTGAGTGTGAGTATTTTGCGTCGAAGACCGGGATAATTTTCTATGCAATCAGTATATTTGCTGTGCAATGAGTATATTTGCTGTGCAATCAGTATATTTGATATGATATTCATATTTCTGGACAATTAAACAAGTTTTTGTTACTATAGATTACATGTATATTTTAGAATTATTTTCAGCACTAGTTTTGTTCAACAAATGTTTTGTTTGCAGTAAAATAATTATTTTGATGTAAAAATATTTTAATTGCTGTAAATGACTCGATGGGTACTAAACTTAGTACTTAGTTAAATGCACAGCAATACAAAATAACTATTTGCTGTGCATTTAAAAATATCTTTATTAAAAATTTAATCTATAATGACAATTAAGAAATTAAAAGGACGATGGGAAAAAACACACCCAGCTCCGCTAACAATGATGTAATTAAACTTAAACTGAAAAACTAGCCTTTTTATTATGACACCGCAAAAAATATCCTTGTAGTGAAAAGATATGACACCGTATAAAAATATCCTGGTAGTCAAAAGATATGATACATGGACATATTTAAGTAGCTAAATAAATTAATTTTATAGTACCTTCATTTTATATTATTAGTAACCATAAAAAGATATCTTATCGTACTCCTATACAACCAGATATACGACAAAGCCTGCCGAACATCCTGCGCTTGCACTTACTGAGCGGTTTACGGGGGTTGAAGTACTTGCAGTTGCAAATAGTCGTCTCGTCTTTCTTCGCTGTGATTGTGCGTTCCCTGTCACATGATTGATTTTTATCTAACACGCTTTGGACATTGGAACACGATTATCGGCTTTGTCAATTAGTATGGATGAACTGGAATCATGTTGTCGCCGAAGCGTGGACAAGTTTGTGTGATTTGTGGTCGCTCCGTTTTATATAGAAGACAATTTACTATAACGAACAGACTGTTTGAAAAGTCCCAAACCATGAGGGGAGGTTTTGACCTACTTTAGCGTGGCAGCATAACATAAGGGGGCACCCTTGCACCTTGTGAAGTACTCGCATAATACCTGACCTACTACTAGTGCATCCACGCACGCACACAGACAAACGACATTTACACGGCCGCTAACCAATCTTGCCAAGCCAAATCAACGCAGTCCCACGTCACGCGCCGCCGAGACTGGTCGTTGGCCGAGTTAAGTTAGCTGCGCCGCGCCCCCGCGCCGTCTGCGTCCGTTTCGATTCCGTAACGTGCCAATAGTAACTATACACATAAAATAAAAATCTACACAAATATTTTTTACATTTTGTAGGTACCAACCCTAAGGATCCGCTCAGTCATAGGCACGGAGGAAAAACAAAGCCTGTTTTTGTTTTTCCTCCGTGGTCGTAGGTATCTATTTCAAGAAAACGGCTGAGTGACGCTACTGCTCTTGTATGTATTGTGCCTGAGCCCTCAATGTACAGTCGAACTAACTAACTAAATTAATGCCCTTGTTTCTATTATTTTCGTTCGGTATAGTACTTGTACCTATTTAACTTAAAATAACTAGATGGAATTTGATGCCCTTTAGCACAGATGATCATGACTATAATACCTTTCAAACAAATGTAGTTTAAGCCGTGGCGGACGTGGGTGCAGCGTCCATACATTTTTTCCCAATGTTCTTTATCATGGACTTGAAATATTATTTAATTCTTTATACTTGTATACTTTAACATTCTATTACAAATAGTTAAGGTTCTGCATTTATTTGACACCGATCTTTTATTTCTTTAAATTAGTGTTCATCAAATAACAGCAACATAAACACGATGTTTTGCGTGCCCAAATAAAAAAAATGTGTAAGTGCCTTTAACAAATTTATACATAACCATTATATTTGCCGGCCTTGTTTCATTTTTACTGTAATCTCCACTATAAAAACACAAAAAGACAAGACACACCCAAACATCCAAACATAGAATGCTCCTGCGCACTGTATCAGTGTAATACTACATCCACCTTTACAATTGTAGCTGTAACTCATAATATTTTTTGTCGCACTAAGCACTTTCGCTTCTGTTAATATTCCCAAACCTTCGTGGTACAGTCGATCACTTATGCCAGCTTCCCCGAGCCTAGTCATAAGTTTTTGAAAACTATTTGTGATGGTGACATTCTTTCGAATCAAAATTTCATGGTAGACAGTCAGCATGTTCTGTGGCACCTTTAACACCGTAGCTTCTCCATCCACTATAGTTTCAGCTTGAAACAACGTGAATTGACCATCGACTACAATTGTAATTCCATTATGTTTAAAACTTTGTAATTCACAATCTACAAAAAACACACATTGTTTTGATGTATTAGAAAACATGTCGAATTGTTTATCACTGAAAAAAAATTTGCTTTTTGGATCCAAGTACGGCTTTAAATTTGATCCATATATCTCGTCGATAGTTTTATATGTACTTGGTGGACCAATGACAGTTAGAAAAGAATACATGTGTATGTTAGCATAAACAGCGAGATGTGTGCATAGAGTTAAGTAGAAATAGTTCATAATCCTGTGCTTAAAAGTTTTTGCTTTATATAATGAAGAAGCACCCATGAGTGCACCCCAATTGTACAACATTGTGTTGCTGAGTGACACGCGTCTTCTGTCAAACATAGTAAGTAAATATGATGCAAGGGAAAAGATGATATAGGACACAATGAATGCATATAAGCTACCGACTTTAGTAACCAGGTTTTGCCAAGACCTGTTTCTTCGTTTAACAGTGTACATCCAAACTAATGCTTGTTTACCGTAAACCCCTGAATATTCAACAACATCACCATACACTCTAAAAAGTCCACCTGCACAAGCGTCCAAAGTACCGTTAAGCAGAAAATCCAAAAATGCTCGTCGAGAATCACCGTGGTCTTCACTGTCAAATATAAAATAATATTGCAGCGTAAAATTGAAATATTGTGACATTATTTTCATGATTTCCACGTCACATCCTCTGATATCCTTTTCATTGATTGGATCCATTATTTGCATTGATTTGCTATCTTTAATACTCGAAAATGGGACATATGTTGCCATACCTACTTTAAAGACACATCCCATTAAATCTTGAGGTTCTTTATTTGGAAAAATGTTGACCTTCTTTAAGGAATTGCAAGTGGCTATCTTAGTGTCTGATACGGTATAGTTCATTTTACAATAGATAGGATTTAGCTTCGGTATATAAGTTACAATATCATAATTACCATCTTCTTTTAATTTTAGAAAAGTTATATCATATTTACTGAGGTAGTGAGATATAACATTATTTAGCAGTGCTGTGCATTCTTTTGAAGAATTGAAAATAACCACTATATGTTTTACTACTGGATTGACGGAGTCGATTGGTACTTCCAATAATTTGTCACAATCATGGTAATATGATATGGAGAGAAAATGGTCTTTCATAACATACATTTCGTATACATCTGAAGTAATATCTTTTATTGTTGGTATGTTATATTTAACTGTTATGTCTATGAGCCTATCATAAAACTTATAAGTATCTGTGGTATCCCATTTATCCTGATTAACTAAGAGAATAGTTGGAGTGTATAAGAAATTTGTCTTGATTATTTTATTTATGCATTCGATTATGAAGTCAGATTTATTATTATGCGCGGTTTCAATTTGTATAGAAGTAGTGCAGTAGTAGTGGTGAACCATTGTAGCAGATAGAACACACCATATAATTTTAGAGGGCATTTTATTAACCCCTCTTTAATAAATTTTCAATGTACGATATCAGCAACTAAATTGCTGTGCACAGATGTGAGATATCAATATAACTTCCATTAATTTAGAGACATTTTGCTTCTTCTGAATTCCCAACGAAAAGTTGAAAACAACACAAAAGACTTTTATCTTTCACCGTAACGTCTACGAAATGATAGTTTCAGCATTTACGTCGGGAAGCTTTTAGAGGAGGAGGCGGGTGAAATACATTTTAGCGTTTTAAATACTATCATTTCCCCAGAACAACTATTAAGCTAGAAACCGTGACTCGAGACAAATACATTAGCTGAACGTGCATTGCCATAAATATTGGAATCCTTTTTGGTTGATTTAACTTTAATTGTAACATGTAAAAGCACTTTTAGTCATATTTATATTAAAATTCACTGAAATGATAAGTTTCAAATTGGTTTTTAAATGTCTAGTCTATGAAAATATTTATTCAGTAAAAGTAGGAAGATTTTTAAGATCGCATCAATAATATGGAAATTCAAATACGTATGTACAAATTAAAAATATCTGCTACCTTAATAAATTGAGCTTTTCTAATACATAGTATTCGATTAATTTGCGTTTTAATTAGGTTATATCATCCTAACCATTGAAAGTTTTTTTTTTTTAATATAGTTGCTCAAAAAGTGACGTATTGCAGGTTCGTATAGCGTTCGGGATGTGGGCTATTACATACTCGAGCTTTTTCTTTACCTTGAACTCGGTCTCGGAACTCGCGATCTCTTTCCCAACTGTCAAAATAATGTTTATTAAAAAGAAAAAAACCAACCACGAAGCTTTTACTAAAAAAAAATCATAGAAGTTTTTATGGTTCAATATTTCTAAAAAGAAGCTACTAATTTACTTCAATATCAGATTTAATGTTCTGATTCAATGAGTTAGGTTAGGTTTCATTTCATTTCATTGACCTTTCATGGACCTTTCATGGACCTGACCAACTTCAGAAGGTCTTCTTGAGGGAGGAGTCTTTCTTCAATCACCGCGTCTTGGAGCTCCTGTAGAGTAGAAGGAGTTGGATCCCGAAATCGAACCTTGCGTTGATCGAAGATGATCCCAGAGGTGCTCTATCGGATTCAGGTCCGGACTCGCTGGCCACTGCATTACAGAGATTTGGGACCTCTGTAAGAAGTCACTCACGATAGCTGCAGTGTGAGCGCGGGCGGTTCGTGCATTAATTTGAACCCCTTCCCAAAAGATTCGGCAAAAGGGACCACATGCACTTCCAGGATCTCTGTGACATCGCGGCTAGCAGTCAGGGACCCTTGTCCGCGAGCACTTCCAGTCCGGGAGACGCAGACAAGTTTAGTTTTGCTGGCGGCCGACATACCGCCCCAGAACATGCAGGATCCGCCCCCATATTCCACCGTCTCCTGGATGCAGGCATCCACAAAACGTTCGCCCTGCCTCCGGTATACTCTTCTCCGTCGATCGTTGCAGAAAATACATACTCGCGTCTCGTCTGAGAAGAGAAAAGCTTTCAACTGCACAAGGGTCCAATCAACGTGGTCACGAGCAAACTGTAAGCGGGCTCGCCGATGCGCTGCTGTCAATTTCGGACCCGTAGCAGCTCTGTGGGCCGCTATCTTTTTCTCTTTCATTCTTTTTCTAACCGTAGAGAAGCTGCTGTTGCAACTAAAACAGTTAGAGAAATGGTTTCCCAAAGAGTTCGACAGAACGAATCGGTCGTCTCTTTCTGAAGTGCAGCAACGTCTACCGGACCCATGTCTAGCCACTAGTCTCTATGAACTTTTCGAACGGAAAAACGGCTAAGGGTGCCGGGAAACATCACACTGACGCATCCCTCATTGCAGTAGTGCAACTACTTGAGCGGCTTCATCAGCTGTGGTACGTAGGTCTTGTAAATACTCACCTTTGTTCTCAGGGGCAGGTTGGAAGCGAGGATAGGGCGGAGCGCTGCTCTGGCGCCTCGGCTCTTGGTGATGGCTTCTCCTACGTGGGTGGTCATCCTTAAGTTTTTGTCTATTATGACCCCCAGGTATTTAGTGGAACTGGCACAGTCAATTGGATGACCGTCTAATTTGATCTTGGGCGGGGGGCGTTTTTTGGTTGTGCAGATGGCGGCGGTTTTACCCACATTTTGTTACTGCCTGCCTGTCTGCAAATAAGGCAAGGTGACCTCTGCTTCCCCACTGTTCCAGATCCTCATTTATGGATGGCAGGTCGTCGGAGAATATGCTTTAGAGGGAGGGCGAGAGGACGCTGCCCTGTGGGACCCTTGCCTCTATTGGGTGGATGGAGGACTCTACTCCCGCCTCAGTAACATGGAAGGAGCGCTCTTGGAAGTATGATGCAATTATCTTCGTTAGGGCCGGGTGTACAGCGGATTTGGCCAGCTTATAGATCAGACCGGGGGTGCCACACCCGGTCAAATGCTTTTTCTACGTCCAGGAACACCGCCACAGTGCAGTGTCTCCTATTCTGGGCTTCGGTCATATGGCCGATTATTATGATGGAGGAGTCGAGAGAGTTGGAGAACTGTGGAATGGCCGCTACGAAAACTAAACTGCTCGTCTCGCGGCTTGTATTGGGGCTTCAGTCGGCGTAGTATTAATCGCTCGAAAAGTTTCCCCACGTGGTCAAGTAAGCTAATAGGGCGGTAATTGCCCGGGCGCCTTCGGTCTTTTCCAGGTTTCGGGATCATTAATTTAATAAACTCTCTGACTAATAGATAGACTCTGCCCGTTTTCCAGGCGCCCGGGAAATAGGTGGCTCTCAATGCCGCGTTAAAATGCCGAAATTTTCACAGAAGATGTATTTCTGTTACCGCTATAGCAACAGATATTCTAAAAACAGAATTAAATAAATATTTAATTTGAGCTCCCATACAGAAGATGTAAATAAATATACAGGGTGAAATTGAATGTTTTAATGAAACTTCGTGGGAATGTTGGGTTACGTATATAGAGTATCTCTGAATTTTTTCGGATTTTTTAAAAAATGATTTAAAATAAAATTTTGTTTTTTTTTGTTATATTTTAAGTCCTTTCCTCCTTTTGGGTACTAAATAATTATTCTTTTAAAACATGCATACAGAGTAAGTAAAAAATAAGTAATAAGCACTACTAAAAAAGACGTAAAAAAGGAGCCGGGCGGCCGGGAGCAATGACCGCTCCCGCCGTTGAATACCTTCCTGCCTACCTATCTAGGTATGCGCGGTGCACAGCGCAGTGAGCGAGCGGAGTCCCAAGCGCGCGTGCGTATCTTTTAAATTTGTGACAAGACAAGATTTGCAAATAATGCCTTGATTAGTTCTTGTTCTGTGCCCTCAATATAAGAATTTGGATATGGTGTGTTGTTATTGCGAGTGTCACGGAATACTCAGCAGAGCCACAAGGCTTTACGAAAGTAGGTTTGGTGATTTATTGGGAAGTTATAGAGAAAAAAATTAATAGGTACATCGGTCTCGTAAGTACTTTTGAATACCTGGTAATAAATTTCATTCTGACCCAAGTATTGAACTGCAATAAGTATT